CCCCCCCAACCCTCACCATGGCTGCCCTGCCCAGCCCTGGCAAGCAAACAAGCAAGAAAGAAGCCCCACACTCACTGACCGGATGCAGCAGTGGCGACTGGGGCCTCTGGGGGCTTATGGCAGAGCCTCCCCCGTGCAGTGTGGGGCAGCAGGGAATCGGCCCCTCTTGCCTGGCACTCACACAGCAGCTGTTGCCTTGCAAGGGTGCAGTGCGGCTCAGCAGGGCGTCGCTGGGCTCCACACACTGTTCGGGAGCTGGGACCACTTGGGCTGAGTGCTGCTGGGCTTCGGGTGACTACTGGAGCCACCCCAGCTCTGGGACAGCGTGCAACTCCCTTGAGATGCAACAGCTGCCATGCAAGTGCCAGGTGAGGGGAGCCAATCCCCACTGATCTGCGCTGTGCAAGGGGGGCTGTCACAAACCCCCAAATCAGCACTGCTGCAGCTGGTAAGTGTGGGACTTTTTTTTCCCCAAGTGTCAGGTTTCTGGGACTGGGCAGCCATGGAGGGGCTAGGGGAATGGGAGGGAGTAGGTGGCGAGCGGGATCCATCACTGACACTGCTGCCACCTGTTTGATTCAGTTTTGATTCAGAGGAGATTTGGCCCAATTCAGCGGTCAAATCTCTGAATCCAAATTGAAATCAGGACAGTGATTCGAATCACCAAATTGAATCACTGTCCCTTCGAATTGGCCAAATCGAATACCTGCTGCTTTGCACAGGCCTATTTCCCACCACTACAGTGAGATGTCTTGCAATATGCTCACTGATCTTTTTCCCATAGGAGTAGAGATTTGGTTACTTTTGTTTTCTTAGCTGTAGATACTACTCAGTGTGGACATTTCAATAAAGATCCTTCTGTTCATATGAATAACTAGGCAAGCCTATGAATGACTTTTGTATGAATTAAATACCTACTATCAGTTTACCTATTATAATACCGACCGCACTAAAGAGCATAATTTTACTGAACTTCGAGAACGCTGAACTGTGTATAATACATGGCCAGGTCTCAAAAGTCAAACCATATTCATGGGATAGAAGACTGCAGGGAAGGAAAGTTGACACATTGCCAAAGATCTTGTATATCTAAAGAACTTGGACTTCAGTCATGTGCTTCAAGTGTATACTCAACAATCTGGGATTCCTTAAATCTATGAAGGCCGAAGTATGGCTCTTGGGTCATATATACCTCAGAGCTCCAAGAATGTAGTCCACAACCACTGTCCACAAAGGGACAAGTCCCAACATGCAATGCTTGAACTTGGTCTGAGCAACGAAGCCGTATTACCTGATGGCCTGTGAGCAGCCACCACTGTGCTAAAAAGTGCTGCTCACTCTGAAGAGAGTGGCTACCTGGTATTTGATGAAAGCCTGCTGTAAATCTTGGCTCTACTCATAGTATTAAGATGGCTTTCCATAGGGCAAAGTTGGAATTCTACTGCCATAAGGGTGTGTCTTGGAGTGTACTATTACTAGCTCAAATCCAGAGCACATGCCTTTGAGTGAATATACTGTTTAAACTAAACTAATGTACAGCCGATCTGAAACAGGTCAGTCATAAAAGCTGCTTTTTAAAGATTTTGGCTGCTTACAGATGTTTAAAAAAAGCTTTAAACTCTGTGTGCCCCCTGCCATGCCTAGTGCATGCCCAGAAGAGGTCTCTCTTTAGTTGGACCTGGCTCACCCAACATCTGTGTAGCAGTCACTTTAGTGGGGCTTTTTTGACACTTTTATCTTTAGCTAATTAAATCAGCTTTAGATAAAAAAAAGTACCAAAAAGTCCCACTGAAGTGCCTGATCTATACAGACACTGTGGAGTCAGGTCAAACTAACACTGCTTCTTCTAGTAAAGTGCGTTTTGTTTTTTTCCGTGTCTGTCAGCACCCTTTGTTTCAAGTAGAATAAGCAAGCATAAAGAGAGACCAGACTTAATTCACCTAATAACTGCACCAGATTTGGATGCTTGATTTCCTTCATCACAGCAGCTTCTTTCAGGAACTCTTCCACTTCCATGGTATCTTCCTAAAAAGATGGGACAGAACAAAGACAACCCACTCTTAATGACTAAGGCTCATTTAACATTGTACAGCTTCAGAGAAAAAGAATATTATTTTTTCACCCAGTCATATCCATTTTTCCCACTCTGTACCAAGGTGATGCAACAAAGAAAGGTCCTTCTATCTAGGCTTAGGGCAGAACAAAAAAAAATCCCTCTTATCTCTAAAACACCTGACTGTATGCTTAAAGCACGATTAAAACAACAGTACCAGACTTAGCAGCTGGTCTGCAATAGCACATGAGATTGCCATACTTAGTCTGTGATCTCACATTCCTTAGCTTAACAACTCTACAAGGAAAGGAGGTCATGCTAGTGGAGGGAAACAATACCAGAGGTCAATGATTAATAACTCCTCTGGTCAATTAAGATGTAATATACTGACTGATTATATGGAGAATTCTGAGGAAAACCACCTGAAAAACAACAACTATAATACTAGAAGTTAAATGAAGGGCTTTCTGGAGAAAGGGACAGGGTGAAGGAACATTTGGTGTCCAAGAATTCCCCAGTCCTCTGTTCTTCTCGGTGGCAATTTCTAAAGCACTGGTTTAGACACTCACTTCCCACAGAGGACACGTTCTTGGCCAAGAATCCTAACAGTTTAAACCACAAAGAGCTCAAAGTTTGTTCTTGTGGAATACTTTTTTCTGTAGGCTATGTGAACAAATGGATTTTGTTATCTTGAGGCCAACTGCCTCCTTTTAAACCATTATGGTTTTGCATAATCAGCCCAAGGACTGGGGTTTTCCATTCAGTTTCCAGTGTTTAGCATTATGGTGTGGCCCTCATTCCAAAACTACGTCACAAACAAATGTGCTCTAAACACAAATAACTAGTAAAATATTAAGCATGCAGCAGTCTAAAAACCAACCTTTAGTGTTTTCACAGCAACCGTGAGACTGTATTTCTTCCAGACACCAACATACACTTCACCATACTGCCCTCCTCCAAGCTTGTGCTTCATGGTAATATCCGTTCTTTCCATCTCCCACTTGTCATGGATGGGAGACACTCCATAAACAGTAGGCTTATTGCACTTGGGTGCTGGGTAATGCAAGGTTGTCACTAATCCATCTGCCACTGTTGAATGATGGTGAACTAGCTCTGCTAGTGTATTGAAGCGACTTTCTGCTGTCACATACACCTGGCAAAAAAGGACCAAGAATCTGTTTAACTGCAGATAACGAAAATAAATAAATAAGTAGATGTGTTGGTGGTGCTGAAAGATAGAATAGTAAAAACATTCAAATAAGGGGAATTTAGAGTTAAAATTGTTCTCAGTTTGACTGGGAAACAGAACATTCTACTAAACAAGATTTATATTTGCAATGAGAGGCACCTAGAGCCCACAATTCGAAATGAATTGCTCATCTGATGTACCCCGTCATGCTTTGCTTAATTTAAAATGATAATTATTGTGATGAATCAGTCTCTGGCCTCTTTAGATGTGATACCATTTCAAGACTGCCCATTAGTTTAACAAAGGCTCTCTCATTCCCATTATGCCATTTCTACCAATGTCAATTAAAACAGATGCGTCACATCAAACTGCCATCTCCTGATCTCTAGCTCTGCATTCAGCCAGAACCACCACATTCTCAATTTGTTCCGAAGTGTTTTTCTGTGGGTTAAGACCTGAACATATAGAGGAGCTCCCCTTTATAAATACACTAATAAACTTGCTCCCCCTACTTGTACAACTTGGGATTTTGTAGTCCCATTTTTACTCCACATCGTTTCTGCTAGAGAGGTCTTACCTTTCCATCTGTGGTGGTATTGATCCTGTAGTGGTAAACACGTCCCTCATACCTGAGTGAGATGGATAGTTGCCCTGGGCTGCTCTCACTTTCACGAACCAGGAAACTGCCATTGATTAAGCTGCTCAGGAGATACTCCGCTGCACTGCGTGACACTGGTCCATGATACCAAGAATGCTTTTCCAGGCTGTTCACTGGTGTGATGTAGTTGCTTGGCACCCATCCCTGCCCATTCTTAGAACATACCTCGCTCCATTCACCATTCTGGTTATAACCCAAGACTCTTAGCTTCTCACCTGCAGATGGGAAAGACAGACAGAAACCATCAAGATGAAATCAGGTAAGTCTTTGTAGGTAAGTCTTCACACGTACAACTAAACCAGATGGTGCAGCTAAGGGATACCAGTCCTTAGCAGGGATTCTTCATTATAACCTATATGGTGCCACATAATTTAACTGGATTACTCGACAAGATGTTAACCTAGCTTTAAAGGCAAAATGTTAAAGGACAAGATCAGATAAGATACTATTGCCTAGTTACAGGCAGCCCATGACTCAAAACCTTTCAAGTTACAACATTTCACACTTAAAGTTTATAAATTGACACCCTGTTTCAACTTTCTGACATTAGTTTTGATTTTACAACGCTTTATCCGATGTGACGCCATGCCGGCAAACAAGTTCGCTGAGTCACCCATCTTCCTGGAGAACATCTGTCTAACTTCATTAGACAGTTTAAGAAAACAGACAAGACTCCAGAAAAACCTGCAGCCAAAACTTCTGAGAAGACTCCAGCCAAGAACCCTTCAAAAAGTCCAGCAAAGCCACCTCAAAGAAGTCCTTCCAAATCAATATGATTGCTATTTACAATATACACACATTAATGTAGCTATATTACTCATCTATAATTGATCAAGTACAAAAGTCTGGGGTATTTTTGGTGAAAATAGGGTATCGGGCCTTGATTCAGGAACCAATCCCCCATTTTTAACATGGTCTCTTATGAGAAAATTGGTTCTGAGTTGCAACGTTTCGACTCAAGACCTCAGGAACCAATTGCGTTATAAGTCCAAGGACAGCCTGTACTCCTATTTGGATACTCAGCTAATATTTATTCACACTCAATTGCATTACCACATATTGTCAACCACTTCCAAGGTTTCCTGTGGTTCAGATTGCTGGAGATGGAAGGTAACTTTTTCCTGTATGATTTGTAATACTCTCAAGATTTTAGCCTTAAAACAAAGTTTCTTAAAATAGTTGCATAGCAGGGGAGGTTTTTCTGGCATGTATTAAGATGACAATTTCCTGTCACTACAAGCTATTTTTTGTGGCCTGTTTAAAGCTCTTGATTTCTCTTTGGTGGAGGCAGAAAGGTAGCGAAGTTTGTATATGGGCAATAATGCCTGACAAGAAATGTCTCTGTACACAAATGAACAGGCCTGCATGATTCTACCACGATAGGACCATACGATTCTTGTATTTTAATACTACTAGCAGTCCTACCACAGAATGCACATACTGAAAAACACATTCTTAATTTTCCAGAATAGCTTTGGCACAGTGGGTTCTAAACAAAGAGGTTTGAGACAAATTCAGAAGACAACAGGTAACAGAAGAACTAAACTTGCAAAACTTGGCTTGAAGCAGGTAGGGAATCAACTCCCCACTGGCAAATGTTCAGCTCGGTTATGAATGGCCAGTACCTCTGAGACTTATGCTAACTGCCCCTGAAGCAAGCCTATAATTGTACCAAACATTATCAAGTAGTCTGAAGGGCACAGCATACTCCTGGTACCAAAAAGGAGTATAAACATGTTATTTGGGTCACAATATTTCTGAAGAAATCCATAAAACTTTTGACACTGCAACGACAAGTCTGGGCACAGGAAATGTTTGGAGTCCAAAAACAGTAGTGTCTGTAGTTCACTGGGTTCTTACCAAGTACGGTGGGGTGCCAGATATCTGAACTAAATAAAGTAACCAATTTTTCAGCTAATACAGCAATTCTCAATCAGGGTGCCATGGCATCCTGGGCTGTCTTGAAATGTTTTCAAGGGTGCTGTGAAGTACCAGGCAATGGTACACCGTTAGGTATGCAAACATGACTCGAGATAAACCCGGAGATTTCAAAGAAGAATCCAGTGTTCAAGTCTGTCATTCTGGCCTGTTACAGTCTGAGTTCTTTGCAAGAAAAGAATTGCTTTACAGCATTATTTCTCTATAGTCAAAAAACAAGTGATTGCTAAGAGCTGGCATTGAGGAATGACTTAAGTTTAATGAGGGGTGCCTTGACTCTCAAAAGGTTGAGAGCCACTGATCCAATGAAACATACATATTAAAACATACAACACACCAATGCTGTACTCTAGGGGTGTCAAAGATAAAGCTCATGAGCCATACTTAGCACACAGTCATGTCATCTGGTCTGCAGAGTTGAAAACATGCTCAGGGCTGCAGGAATTAATGTTGCCACTGCTTGGCCCATTGCCAAATTTCTGGCCCTTCAGTCAGCCCTGTGGCTCTGTGTTCCAGATTCAGTTGACTGAACGACTCTGCTTTCTAGATACAGGCCACAGGAGCTCTGTGATACTCATTTGGCCCCATGGGGCCAAGTGACTCTGACATGCTTTCTGTACTCTAGGGCAGTGGGTACCACCTGGCGGTACTCAGACAATCTGTCAGTGGTACGCGTTAACAGATTTACTATAATTATTTTATGTGACAAAAATTTGCTGGTGGCACTTAAGGTTGTATTGTTTTATATTGGTAGTGCACAGTATGTCAGAGGGCAAGTTCAGAAGCATATTTCCCTTCCTTTCAATTTGTTGATTAATGCTTGATAAAACATTGAAAACGGTTCTCTCTCCATGGTGCACACTTGTACCATACACCAAAGAAGCTGGTAACCTCTGCATTTTTGTAACTGACCTGTTCAAATAAATGGTGTGTGAATAACTGAAATACTACTAAACTATATACAAATCAGTCAGCTCTGCAGTAAATTAATTGTTAAAAGGTGGTCCATGTCACACAAGTCAAAGATAAAGCATGTGCTTGAAAGGCATACTTCTAACAAGTAGTTCACAGAAGACCATCATCATCTTCAGTTATGGTCACTCCTCTCATTTTCTCTGGTAGAACAATGACAAATGATTCTACTTGTGGTTTCCCTCCCCACCCCCCTCAACTTAAATTCACACCTTATTGCAGAAGGAAATTACCTAAAATCCTGCAGAGAGAAGTTTGGCAAGTGCCACACCATGAAGTTCAGTTCGGTGTCTAGAGCTGCAGAATAACCACATTTTTCCTCCAAACTAAGGCTTCTCAGATCAGGTAAGTGTTATTATTTCAACACAGCTCTGTGAATCAAAGCCTCAATGGGAACAAGTTTGAGCCACAGTAATATGCTGACAAGGCACAGGATGCCTTACCTTTGGTGATGCTGAGCGTGTTGTCACCACTTGCTACAAAATCGTAAAGTGCAACAAAGAGATTGGGATCACTCTCAGTGGCTCCAAGCAGATTTTCCTTGGAGCTCCACCTGATGGCTTCATTCAGTGCCTGCGGTTCGACATCACAACCATAAGGGCGATGAAGGGCCTCTGGAGAAAGAGTAAAAGCAGGGAAATTACTTCATTTGCAACAGTTGCGAGCTCAGTACATACAACCTCAGAGCTGCTGCTGCACTGTCAAGTCTTAAGGTCATAGGAAGAACTATGGATTTTGCCAAAATACAAGTTTTGCAATGTCCAGGCATCAGCTCAGGAGACCAGAATGTTTTGAGGACTGTTACAAAACATTAAAATGTATAACTTTGGTTAAATTGGAGTTCCATAAGCCATTCAAACTTCTCAGCAGTACTTAGGTTTGTCTCCACAAGAGGGGGGGAGCTTAGGTTAAAAAAATTAAGCAGGATAGTGCTGATGAGAAACAAGCCTAATGTTATTTTATATATTTTCTCTCTCATCTTTAGGGAAGCTGAACTCTAGAAAAACGGCCAGAAATTCTGCAAGTCAAAATGAAAGCAAATATTAAATGTTCCCATCAATATCAAGTATGTGCCAAAACTAAATTATATAAACAGTGGCATACAATTTTTTAAACAATAGTTTACAAGGCACAATTAAGACTATAGTGCATTTCAGAGTAAATAGAAAAAGGTAGTTAAAAAGCAATACTGGAAATTCAAGAAAGACACAACTTAATGTCCAGCACCAGCCTTTTTCCTGTTCCACATATATTCCAGTACGATAAGGGCCCCCAAAATTAATGGACATATCTACTGAGTTTAACAACTAGACTTTAAAAGCATTTTGTTGCAGCTATATTAAGATATAATTCACACCTATAAAACAGAAGATACTGAGTAAAGAGTGGAGTAAGGGCAGATCTTGGTAATGGTAGGACCCAAACCAAATGCTAGAGACAGCCCCACTTAGTAAGGCCACAAACAGACATCACATTTATCCTGGGACAGACTATAGTATCCCAGGACAAGGTACAATTGTTCAGATGTACACATCTATTGTCCCAGAATAAAATCTTAAAAGGTTCATATGATAAGAAGTACTAACAGATTATCCTGGGATTACATCACTGAAGCAATAGCAAAAGAATGGCAATGCATTCAGCTGCTCACTGAACCTTGATTAGAAGGGATCTTAATTGTTCAAATTACAGTAAAACTGCCCTAATCCCAACACAATTTTTTAACACTGGTGTGTACATGCACAGTATGTCAAATTTTTAAAGAGCACCAATGGGTTTTGGTGGCAATAGACAAAAGTTCCAGTTCTTAGAAGCATCTGTCTTTACTGAGCAAAAATAAACAGTAATTAAAGAATACATTCTTTACACTATGATAGTGCTTTCAAGAGGCAAAGTGTCTAACTACCTTAAAACAAGGTCACACAGCAAGACCACACTACCAGTTTGACTCAAACCTCTAACTATAAAGAAGGAGAACGATCATGGGAGATTTCATCAAGCAGCATAAATACATGTGGGCTGAAAGCTCAGACTGCAGAGACAACCAACTACTTTTACCTTCAAATTAGATTAATCAAAGTGTAAAAGTCTTCCTTGTTTCAATTATGCATTTGCTTTGAAGTCAACTATATTTTTAAAAAGAATATATACTTAAAAAAAAAACAAAAAACCTTACTTTTGTACTAATTATAAGATAAAAAATGAGGGGTTTTTTCCATTCCATGCCAAATCATTCCACATAATGTGTAACAACTTTCTGGCCCACTTCCATCACACTTAAACTGAATGTGTAGCTGGCTGAGGCTGGCCCATGACAGATCCTGAAACTGACCCACGTTTCAGGATCCAGCACAGGGTAACCCCAGGGCCTAGGTCACAGATGTCTTGGCAGCCCAATCCCAAGGTCCCTATGCTCTGGGTCTTCAAAACCTCATCTGTCACTCAGTTAAGCAACACACAGGGTTTCAACTCCATCCCAGCTAACTGGGACCTTACTAAGTGGGGCTGTCTCTAGCATTTGATTCGGGTCCTACCATTACCTACCATCTGCCCTTACTCCAGCTGCATTTTAATTTGCCAGTGCAAAGGGATCCTGATATTATAATCCCAGGGTCCCCCTGCACTGACAAGTAAAACAGAATAGGGACCTAATCTGCATCCCAGTATCACGCACCCTGCTGTGCCAGTGTGGCATGGCAGGAAGCACAATTGTTGGAATCACATCTTAGATGCCATGGCACCTTAAAGTGAAAGTGTGTCAGAGGCCTATGCATATCTTCAATAAGGCTTCACTTTAACTACTGGTGATGCTGGGTTCAGCAGCATTTTGCTCGTAGCCTGCATACACAAGTCAGCAGTTGGCACTTCAACCGGAAGAAAAAGTACAGACCAATGGCAGCAATATACCTGCTACCTGCTGCTGCTCAAGATTATGGAACCAGTAGCAGTAACACTACATTAAGCCATAGGTGGTACGACACTGAGTTGCCAAGACAGATTCAAAGTAGATGTGAGACCATCATGATTTCCTTTTGAATAACTAGGAGGCCCATTCATCTTTAAAGCAATATTACATACCAAAAAGCAAAACGGGAAGTCAACAATCAGATGTTTGAAGGGTATGTGAACAATCACTACAGTACTTTTGAAGATTTACCAATAATCTAAAGGCTTCAGTGGCTTAAATGTCATTGACTTTTAAGTACCCAAGTCACAGTTTATAGGGAGACTTCAGAGACTGAGACTTTTGCCTAATATCTACTAACTATACTTTACTGGGCAGTAAAAGAATCTCTTACAGTAGGTTACCAATATGTAGTAAGATAGGTCAGGGCTGTCTGACTTCAGAGCATCTAAGGGCTGCTCACTACTAATCATAGGTCCTAGGCTGGGCACAGCACACGCTGCAGGGGCTGTACACAATATGGGCTTCAGGGGTCTCTGCCACACAAGCCCTCAGCTCTCCCATGCTGCATAGGCAGCAGCAGTCCCCACCCCAGCTGCCACAGGAGGAGCACAATAACCTACCCCCACTGCTCCCACCTAAGCTGCCCAACTCGAGCCTTCTGGCTGGTGTTGCCATGGACAACAAGCTCAGTGGGCCCCCTCCTACCATACTGCCCTGCCCCACAAAACCTGGTTGCAGCAGCAGGAGCAATGGAGGGAGTAGCAGCCAGGCCCACAAGCTGCAGATTAACCCTTCATAAGCTGTGGGCCATGAATTAGACAGCTCTGAGATGGGCTGTTTAAAGAAAAAAAAGTGGGTCACAGTCCATGGGGCTATTTTAGCCCTTTCAGAGCAGAGAATGGAGAAGGAAAAAATGAAAAGCAACTACTGGATTTTCTGTCTAGTCAAGTATATTGACTATTAATTTCATCAAGTTAGTGCTCACAGTACTGCTCCCTCCAAAGACAAACTGTAACATAAGCTACTTGTTTAAAAGCTAAGGGCTTTTCTAGTTAACTGAGTCTAAACTAAAACTCCTTTTTAGCTGTAGTACTGTACATGTGCATGCAATGGGATAAACTTTTCAATTTAGAAAAACATTTCCCGCTTTACACATCAAAAACCATGATGCAATTTAGGATCAAATGAAGTAGCTGCACCTCATCCACCCTTTTCCCTTTCCTGTTCTTTGTTCTCATGATTGAATTCAATCCTTTCCTGACACAGCCGCTTTCCCAGGCAGTCTGTTTCCAAGGGATGTTTTTCCTCTGCCTTACAGTTAATTCTTCCTAGTGCAAGATTTGGCAGGAAGAAAATTTATAAAAAAATACACTAAACTCAACATTTCAGAATCGGATCAAACATTAAAGTTTTCTTCTTTGAAATGCAAGCAGTTTAAACTACTCATATATATGAAACATTCAAATGATCCTCCAAGCTAGACAAAAGCAGAAGTCCTCAGACCTGCTGATGACAGTCTTAAGAGGACAAAGACTGGTTTCAAGCCCTTCATTCAGTGTACACAGGGCAAGGTGTTGGACAATACAACACAGCATTCCTGTACACCATACCTGTGAAGTCTGATACGCCAGATTCAGAGGCTTCATTGCCAAGACAGCAGAGCAGCCTGCTCTCTTCTTTACCGTAACTGCTGGACTGTAGGAGAACGGTCCCCAGGATCATGTTGTGCTCAACAGCAACAAAAGAAACTGCTAATCACAAGAAATCCTAGAATATCACTTGCAACAAGCCACACCACGTGCATATGGCTATTACTCACAAGACTGGGAGCCAATGGGAACAAGAGCACTTCAGGAGTGGGTGGGGGAAGTGATGGAGAAAAAATACTTTTCGTGTTTAACTTAATTATTGCCTGAAAGTGTAGTAAGGGTGGAGCTTCCTACGCAACTATGGACGAACAAAGGAAGTGGAGAACGAGCTGCATGTTGACACATTTCTGGGATCAGCAATAAATCACTCAGTTTTATCCCATTAGGATTAGGAAACCAAGCCTGGATAAAAGCAAAACACTTTCCCTGGAAAATACACTTCTTACAAATTTTCCAACACATCATCAATAAAAGGCCACACAATATGATTCATCTTCCACCCCACGTACAACTACTCCTGCACTAGTGAATTCACAGTGAAAGAATTTATATATTTAATATTAAAGGTTTACCATGTACATTAACCAAGAAAGCAAATACAAATGCTAGAAAACCACACAGACTTTTTTCACTAAATTGTTTTTAGAAACAAATATATAGAGAGCATATCAAGCCTATATTTGAGCCGCGAATTTGCTGATTTATGAAGATCTAAGCGAGGTCAGTAATATTTCAAAAGGAATACTGTCAGAATGATTATTTAAAAAAAAAACCCTGCTTGACAGAGCTGCTTAAAAAGAAGTTGTAAATGTCTGTTTTTTGTTTTGTTTTGTTTTTTTACAAGAGTTTGTCAGATCCCCCGTTAATATTTATACAGATTTTTAGGGGAGGAAAAAAGCAGCCGGGGAATGGAGTTAAAAGCAACTATATTGTTTCCTCAGGTTTCTAAGGAAAATTTTTAAAAGTTTTGAAACCCGAGTGCCTCCTCCCAGGGAAAATGAAACCAGCTGTGCCCTGCTGCATCTTAGCCACATGCTACTGGAGGTCTACACACTTTCTTTTATTCATTTACTTGTATATATACTGCATCCCCTTCCCAACCCCTTTATAATTTGTGTCCCTCAGCATGGGACGCCGTGGTGTACATCTTCATAGCATAGCATTTCCTCTCTATTCTTGTACTTTTGTAAGTAGTACTGAAATCTAAAGTGTATCAATTGGTACAAACTGAAATGAACTACACAGTTCACAGTTCAGAATTTTAAAGAACCAAGTCTGCAAAAAGCTTGAAACAATGTCAGTAATGCCTACATTATATTTGAAATGTTTTCTTCACAGCTATTTTAAAATAAAGGTCAGCATCTTTCTGTTATAAAGTTGAAAGCCCATCCTCCAGATCCCTTCAGATGCCCGCTCTCCAGACTATATGAAATGATACCAAAATACAAAAATAAACACTAATCTCTCCCAAAACACACACTTCTTTCCATCTCTCATGTGCATGCCACTTCATCTGTACTTGACCTGTCCAGAAGTTTCAACTCCAGCTCAGAGTGGTATCTGAATGCACACATCAAAATAGGGCTCTTGCACCTACTTCCTATAAAAGGTAAACAGATTATAAACTCTGATATTAATTCTCACACACTCAAAACCCATGAGGCACAAATACAGCATTCTACTATCTTTTTATCACATTGTTCCCTTGTAACGATAGGGATGTTAGAAGACAAGGCCATAATGTCAATCTCTCTACTCTCTCTCTGCTATTAAATAAAAATTAACAAATGAAGTGGATCAGCTCTGGCAGGACACATCCTGCCACAGCTGATCCACTTCACTGGGTGAAACACATCACTCATTGTTTCATATCAGGCAGGGGCCCAAACTTGAGGGACAACAGCCAGTGCATTCCTTCCTTACAGCAATATGCCTCAGGTTTCCCAGGAAACATCTTTACAAGCAGGGAAAACCAGGCTGGCACTCATCAGGGTTGAGGAGCCTGATTGCGAGCAGGAATTCCCAGGGCGCACAGGATTGGGCACAAGCTCCAGGAGTGATTACCTGGAAGAGAGGGAGAGTGCAGGCAGCTCTGGGTTGCCCAAGCTCTTGCACCATAAAGCAAAGCAACGTCTGCCACAAAGTGGAAGAAACCATTACCACCTTCATCTCAGCCACGAATTTTGGGCATCTGTGGCAAAAGGGGCATAGACATCTGTTTACCTGGCCTGTCTCACCAAAACATTTTAAAGGTAGCACAAAGGAGATGTTTCTGCCATCTGACACATAAATCCCTTTCTCTATTTTATTTGCACTTTCACTTTGGATAAGGATGCATTAGTGTTTATTTACAAAATTAATTCAAACTTATAGTGTGATCCAACTTCACAACACAACTTTTTTCAGAGAATCAAAAAACATGATTTTCTAAGCACATTCTTATAAAAGCACCTTTGACTTTATTTGAATTGTCATCACATTGAATAAATATACAGAGGAGAGAACAGTCATGTCTATTTTTCAATTATGCCGTTTACAAAGGATAGATTAACTCTTCCTCCAAATATTTAATGCAGAAGTTTAATTCCATATCATAGTATTTACGGTAAAAATTAAGGGTAAATATACATACACATACCTCATATTGATTACAAATGGTCCGGAACTTTTCTCCAATGCGTAAAATGTACATGACTTTTTAAAACTGAACTGCCTGAAAGTTATCAGACTAGGCATCAGTTAAAACTTGAGCACAGAAACTACAGCTTATAGACATTAAAGAAAACCAAAGCAAAATGCACTTTACCAAAAACAGTAGCACAGTAGTTCAACCCGGCTCCACTGCATCTGTATAGATCAGGCGCTCTTGGCGCTTTTATCTGAAGCTAATTCAATTAACTATTAGATAAAAGTGCCAAAAGCCCCACTGAAGAAACTGACCTATTTAGATGTTGAGTGAACTGGGTCCAACTAACGTGATGCCTCTACTGGGCATGTGCTGGACTTGGCACAAGGGCATGCAGAGTTTGAAGTAAAGTATCAGGGGGGTATTTTAGGAGGGGTGGATTTAATGCCTTAAGTAGCCTATATGTCTAGATAATGTTATGAAGATAGATTGTACATATACATCTGAGTATTGTAGCAGCATCCTCATTCTTACATATTAGAAGCTATTTCAACAGAACCCTTCAAAGCATGCTGAGCTTTACATAGTAAATTGTAAGAGGTGAAGTTCCCCAAAGTTAAATAAAAACACAAAAGGTAGTAAAATGGTAATACATCAGTAGATCAAGAGTTTCATAATTAAGCAAAAAGGTTGTGTGATGGTTCTGTTTGCCACCAAAATGTTTTAACTCCACCTACCACTAACTACTTCAAGATATAAACTTACACTGGTTAAGGAAAAGGAGACACTAAGAAGACAGGCTTCATCATCTGCTACAGCAGTGATTTCTCAACCAGAGTGCCACAGCACCATGGGATGCCTTGAGATCCTTCAGAGGGGCCAAACAATGTCAGCACTGTCCGGATTACATGTATGATTAAGAAGATAAGATGGGGGGGTATATGGTTGATCAACTAGCCAGTTCTGCCCTGTCTCCCTTACTTATGATATAAAAAAACCCTTTGAATTCTGGCAAAACACACCATAGTGTTAGTTTCATCCTATTATTCCTAAATTTTACACTTTTGCTGTAGCCTGAATTCCTCCATCTCTTTGCTATTAATATTTGTATACTAATGTATGCTTCACCTTACCCTCCACCCTCCCAGATGCCACTGAAACCTACTGCAAAGAACCATCTTCCCTTCAATATTAATCCCTACAATATGCTTGTTTGTTGCTCTAAAATTTCAGAAAAATTGTTAGCCATTTTTTTGGTGCCAAGGTGCCCAGAACAAAGACATTCCCAATGCACTCATACCAAACTTGTACAAAAGCACAATGATTTTCAAGTTGCATGCCACTGGGTTTAAGCTGTTTGACTGCAGTCAGGAAGGAAAACCATCCCACAGCTCACTAACGACCACTGTAAGATTATGAAGGCACTGCACTCTCCACTAAAGCATTTAGCACTGTCATTTTCTAAGACGACATCAAATCAGAAGAACTGTCACTCTCTTCATGGACTACTATGTTATAATCTGAACGGAATGTGTATGTGTGCACACACCAGTGTACATATTTCCAGAAAGATCAAGTGTAGAATGACAGCTACATGCAATTTTTGGGACAGTATTTTTACTGGTGGTTTGAAAAGAGAATATTCCCTGCCCTCCATCCCCCCTCCCCCAGGATTTCTAGGGGTAAACTATCTAAAAGAATCAATGATGAACAGATTAAGCTAGCTACCTAGCAAAAAAAAATTATTCTGCATATGTCAAATAACTATTCACACTTTTGTAGAATGTCATATACTACCTCATGTCCAAAACGCTCTTGAAAGCAATTTAAGTAACTCTTGTAATGTTTGATTTTTTAAAAATTAAAATTTTAAACAACAGAACTGCACGAGACTCCGTTTTATTTTCTTTCCTTAAGGTTTTTATTCCTTATGGCTAAAAAGAAGCCACGTGAAAACATGAGCCAAATGTACCCTAAAATCTGCAAATCCAGAAGCAAACAAATTATTTATATATAAAAATAGATTCCATTGAAGATGGAAACTAGCACAAGACTGAATTCTCAATTCCAATCAAGTCGCACTGAAAATCAGCAACTACCAAACCTGTAGAAGCTAAGCCCCCCCCCGAGTTGTCAGTCATGAGTACATAGCAGCAGCCATTTCTTATTTTTTAGAAACCATAGGCATTCTCTTCACTTGAAGTAACCCCTTTCCTCCCCACAAAAAAATGAGAACATGCAGTGCTATTAATGTTTTTTTTCCTGGTTCTAAAGTTCACAAAAAGCTAGTGAGCAACCAGAGGATCCAATACTCAACATAATCTTCTTTTAACGAAGGGAATTATAGTTATGTTAGTTCCGTCTCAGCTTCAGTGACTGGTTCACTTCTGAGTTGGAAAGAGAGGGTGCATAAATGTGCACACAGAAGCACAGCTATGTACTCTCGCTCAGTACTGGTTGCC